CTAAAAACCCGTTTTAATTCATATTACGCTACATAATATTCAAATCCACCGCGCTTGTAGAATCTCAGGAGAGACGTGTATTTCCCATCTGTTTTACCCTCAGGATCACTCTCAGTAAGCCCCGCCTTCGAACACAGTTGTCACTGCGTTTATTGTACTTTCTACTGGCAAACGCAACCTTGAATTAGTCTGTTTAAATCAACTTTAGTAATTCGCCAGACCTTTGTCAACTGAGGGTCATCTTTGAATGAGTAACAGTTAGTTTGTTTGTGATTATTGTCATTGCGTGAGTAGCGATCACTGGCAACTCAGGGGTATATAAACTCAAGATGGCTAGGGAGCGCGTCCCCTGACGCTGCCCCGTTTGTCTCCAGGTATGTTCTGGGTTCCCTAGCCATTCAGTTAATTCAGTCAATTGTAGTGAATATCCGTGTTCACCAGTGTTCATGATTTAACAGTTGAATTGTCATTCACCCAGTGTAGAAGTAATATAACGTAAATACGTCTTATCGTCTAGACAAGAGAGTTTGTTGGTGTTGTCATGTTTCTCAGTCCCCTGACGCTGCCCCGTTTGTCTCCAGGTCGAGGGTGGGCTTAATTGAAACCCACCGGTCGCTCGGAGCCGGTGGATACCCAGCAGTGGTCAATATAGGAGTGATGGCGCTGATTCGACATGATTAATCGGCTCTACTCTACCTCGTGGGCCGAGGACCCCAAACCCACCTCGGGTCGGAGTGTAACCGACCACAACAGCAGTTGTTAGAGGCGCCAGTGCTATACCCTGGGACAGGCCTTGGAATTATGGTCCACAGTGTGGTTGTATGTGGTTTTTACCAGTATGTTTTATAAGAAATAAATCAACTAAGACATGTTATGGTTTCACCCTTCTTTACCCTTATCGATCTGGTCAATGGAAAACCTAACCCAATGCCTAGTCCACTCTGCCCGCTACCTAACGAGCTACATGCTGTCCAGAGGGGGTCTGGTGGCAGCGACCCTTAGAAATTAAGATTAGAGTTAAGTTATCCCCTTAGATTTAGTGACCCCAGAATCTGGCAGTATAAATTGGTGGTAGGGGTGGGATGGTTTTTAATCATTGATCAAATCCGAGGGAATTGAAGCTGTGATTTAAGTTGCAGAAAAAGAACAATAATGGAGAAGTAAGGTAAGGGTGGTGTAGGTGTTGGAAAAAAACCCGCCCCCTTACACAGGTGGCACGGAAGTGATGTAATTTACATGGTATCAGATCATGAGGAATAAATGTGATGCTGTGGATATTTTTTTTTGTGGTTTTAAGGAGAAATTGAAAACAGTTCACGGCAAATACCTTACTCGAAGTTAGGTTAGAACAATTGCATCCAGAAAATTAGAAATCTGTTTTAAAGTAGAGTGTGCATTGAAGTGTTTAAGATTGAAAAGTTCAGTGTTGAAAAATGTCTGAGAATCAGAGTTTAGCTACCTAACTATTTTTTTTGCAGTCTTTTGTGAAATCTCAGAAAAGTGTTGGTTGTATGCCAAGGTAAATTTTTTTTGGGTGCCTTTCTGCACTGGTACCATAGCAATTGTTGTGATCACTCGAGTTAATACTTTGTTATTTACAGACAATGAGGGACATTGAACATGTGCCGTGTTACGAGTGTTGTGGACAGTGTCGATTTCTGAGTGTACCGGAAGGCCATAATTATATTAAGGTTATGTAACAGTGTTATTTGTAATTGACATAATATGGGTGTAGTTGTTTTAATTTTAATTGGAAGTGTTTTAGTTATAAGTTGAGGTCAGAATTGGGGCAAGTGAATTTATTTGTATAACCTGTGTTGTGTTAGATACCCGAGTATTTGGTATTTTTTGTATTGTTTCTATTAGTATGATTTTTAGTGCATAGAGCATTAGTTTCTAGCAGTGTAGACTTACAGGCAATGTCATTAAGTGTGTTTTATGTTTATTTGAGATCTAATACATGTATAATTTCAGCAATTGCTTTGATGAGTTGAGGACTCTATTGTGATATGGACATCTGTAAAAGAACGCAATCTTTGAAAATTGATTGGTGAAAGTACATGTAAGGACCCCCCATTTGTGAGTACAACAGAGTACATTGTGAAGTGATAAGTGTTGAAATCATTGCAATTGAAAAGACAGTGAACATTTGTTGAGTACTGAGGGGACAGTCTCGTAAAGTATTACCATATTACCACTGATTCTTTTTTGTGTGCGTGACTCAGTAATGGAAATGTCTATGTTTTTGTTTAAGTTGATTTGTTTAATTATAATCTTTTGGTAGGGGGGGGGGGAAGACAGTTACTCAGATGGTTTTTGAGGATGCTTTTTGAAGATCAGCTATTAGTAGTGGTATCTATATTGTCTGAAAAGGTTTTTTTTTGGGTTGTTGACTTCGTCAGTCGTACTGAAGTCACCCCAACATTATAAACCCCAGTTCTTACGAACTGAAGTCCGGAGATCCAGTTGCTGCCTATGTTGTCGAAAGGAAAAATCTCAGTTTATGTGTGTCGGAAGTTTTTTTTTGGGGGTTGTTGACTCACTCCAAGTGAGGGAGTCACCCCGACTTTGAAATACCAGTTCTTCTGAACTGTGAGATGGAAAATACGTGTTTTGTGTTATGAGCCCCATTGTGTACTTATAGAACCACGGTTTTGTGTTGAAAAGGTGAATTATTATTGAAACGATGCAGTAATCGGAGGATGTGTCTGATGTAACTAATGCCCCATTCATAGACAGGAATTTAAATTCCTTAGTATATGTAATTTCATGCAGAGTACTTTGTTGTATATGTAATGTCAGAGTCACTGTTTATGTGCTGGTGCCAAAAGTAGGTTGAGGTATTATGCTGATGAACTGTTAGGGGAATGTTCCCTATACTATATTGTACGGAAATAAGAATTAAGTTGTTGCAGGCATAGGTAGCGGAGACTCGAGTATGAAACGTTTAAGTCTCCTTAGGTTTTGTTTTATGTATTAAGGTACTATAATCACGAACGGTTAAGATTTGTCGAATTGTACGTGCACTACCGCGTTAGTGCTTTTGCCTATTATTCCGCCTAATATGAATCTTTGGAAGGGGAAGGCTATGTACTGCGCACCTCATTGTCATTCCTAAAAACCCGTTTTAATTCATATTACGCTACATAATATTCAAATCCACCGCGCTTGTAGAATCTCAGGAGAGACGTGTATTTCCCATCTGTTTTACCCTCAGGATCACTCTCAGTAAGCCCCGCCTTCGAACACAGTTGTTACTGCGTTTATTGCACTCTCTACTGGCAAACGCAACTTGAATTAGTCTGTTTAAATCAACTTTAGTAATTCGCCAGACCTTTGTCAACTGAGAGTCATCTTTGAATGAGTAACAGTTAGTTTGTTTGTGATTATTGTCATTGCGTGAGTAGCGATCACTGGCAACTCAGGGGTATATAAACTCAAGATGGCCAGGGAGCGCGTCCTAGGGGCGCTTGTAGTAGAAGCGGTACCGCTCTTACCTCGCAAAAGATGTCACGGGTTCGATTCCCAGGCAAGCGGAAGTTGTTTGGACACTCTTCTAGCCCCTTGGTCCCTGTTCACCTAGCAGTAAAGTAGGTACCTGTTGTAAATCGAAAGGTTGCGAATTCGTATTCAGGGAAAGTTGTTGGAGCTTCTAAACTTGAACTGACACAATCCGGAGGAGTGGTGACGAGGATCACACCCAACACAGACAAAACTAAATACGTGCGCTATGCGCTAACCAAATAAACGCAGTCGTTAAAGCCACGGCACTATCTCTCCCACTACAATTCCTTCCTAATCCCCTGCTCCTTCCTCTGTCATCTTCCTCTGACTTTCGCTACCAACAACTTTTTTGGAGCTTCTAAACTTGAAAAGCGCGTCCCTGACGCTGCCCGTTGTCTCCTCAGGTATGTTCTGGGTTCAGCCATTCAGTTAATTCAGTCAATTGTAGTGAATATCCGTGTTCACCAGTGTTCATGATTTAACAGTTGAATTATCATTCACCCAGTGTAGAAGTAATATAACGTAAATACGTCTGTCGTCTAGACAAGAGAGTTTGTTGGTGTTGTCATGTTTCTCAGTCCCCTGACGCTGCCCCCGTTTGTCTCCAGGTCGGGTGGGCAATTGAAACCCACCGGTCGCTCGGAGCCGGTGGATCACAGCAGTGGTCAATATAGGAGTGATGGCGCTGATTCGACATGATTAATCGGCTCACTCTACCTCGTGGGCGAGGGACCCCAAACCCTCCTGGGTCGGGTGTAACCGACCACAACAGCAGTTGTTAGAGGCGCCAGTGCTATACCCTGGGACAGGCCTTGGAATTATGGTCCACAGTGTGGTTGTATGTGTTTTTTACCAGTATGTTTTATAAGAAATAAATCAACTAAGACATGTTATGGTTTCACCCTTCTTTACCCTTATCGATCTGGTCAATGGAAAACCTAACCCAATGCCTAGTCCACTCTGCCCGCTACCTAACGAGCTACATGCTGTCCGGAGGGGGTCTGGTGGCAGCGACCCTTAGAAATTAAGATTAGAGTTAAGTTATCCCCTTAGATTTAGTGACCCCAGAATCTGGCAGTATAACTGGGCAAGTACTGGATCTCTGTTACCTACCGTTACTGGGCAAGTACTGGCTCTCTGTTACACACTGTTACTGGGCAAGTACTGGCTCTCCATTACACACTGTTATTGGGCAAGTACTGGCTCTCTGTTACACACTGTTACTGGGCCAGTACTGGCTCTCTGTTACACACTGTTACTGGGCAAGTACTGGATCTCTGTTACACACTGTTACTGGGCAAGTACTGGCTCTCTGTTACACATTGTTACTGGGCAAGTACTGGCTCTCTGTTCCACACTGTTATTGGGCAAGTACTGGCTCTCTCATAAATGCCATTAACAATTTAACTCGATTGGTCGTAAAGGAAAGTAGAATGGAAGAAAACGGAGTTAGTTATTTAAGGACAAACTTGTTTATTTTTTTACCCCATTGCTATTGTCGCAAGTATTTATTTTCGTCTTTCAGGAATCATGTGTGGGCGGCAGGCATGGGTGGGTGTATCGTGGGCGTGTGTGCTATGGGCGTGGTTGGCTACGGACCTGTCAGCGGCTCCAGCAACTAAAAGTAAAGGGAATTCTACAGTAAGTTAAATTGTCTGTTTAATTTGGTAGTCTCTCTCAATTGATTGATTTTTAGTGCCTTCAAAACTATGTATGTATGTATGTATATGTATCTATCTATCTATCTATCTCCCAACAGATGGTAACAGTGCCGTCAGACTTGCTGGTACAGTTACTGGACGTCAGCAGGTCGTTACAGAAATTACTACCAGCTGACATCCCCATCCTCCTGCTTGATGTCAGCCCCGAGGAAGGTAAGGGGACTGTTTTGTTGTTCTGGGGTCCATTTAACCTCATTTAGCATAGTGTTAACTGTAATGATCGTGATGACGGCTAACCTGAAAACCTTAAGGATTCATATTACGCTCAAACGTCCACAAAACCCTCTTGAGTCCCCCAGTGGAAACATCCCCCGTTTTCTCTGTTTCCCCGTCTTTGTCTTATGGGAACTTTGAATATAATCCACAGATTTAGTAGCAGACGCTGTATGCTGGGACCTGTTGCCATCCAACCCTTTGTAATCAATTTAATTTTGCTTTTGATAGCTGAGTCAGAGCATTGTTAGTGAAGATAATAGTAGGGAATGAAACTGAGTTCATAGTCTCAGTTTCAACGTCAGAGTGTACAGTAAATTAATTCATCGGAATAGAAGTAGGTGGGCTCCCTGGTCTGGTTTGAGTGAGGGCGCCGCGGGCATTTCTACCGTTAGTGAGTGCCCGTTCCTTCATCCATACAGGTATGCCATTCCACTCTGTGTTGTAATTCGCCCTTCTTTAAGTGATTTGACCCAATTAATAGTTGATTGTGCAAGTGTTACAGTAACGTAGTCGATATGCTCTGAGTGAAGTCATATTTACGTCTTTAGCGTCCCCTGAAACGTGATGTTGTTGTCACCGTTAGTGAGTGCCCGTCCCTTCATCCATACAGGTCCCTAACGCAGCCTAGGCCGTGTCTGTAGCGTGGATGTCGTATCCACTATGTATGGGGAGATGTCCGAGATCCAGTAGGATCAGTTACCTTCGTGAGACCCGGCCGTCAGACACTTCAGACTACCTATAGCCCCCATAGCTGGCTCGTCTGGCCCTAACGCTCGGTCTGCGAGGTGACCCCGGATCACCACGCCACACACCACTACCAGCCCCCATCATTGGTGGATGAGTGTCTAACTCAGTAGGGCTATTTGTGTGGTGGAATTAACCCACTGGGATCTCCAGAGTTCGTCGGAAAGTACTCCATGGTGGCTGGACCCCATGGCTGTTGCTTAAGTATCACTCCTGACGACTGAGTGGTGTAGTGGCAGTTGCCCTGGTCTTTATGGTGCTAAGTGACTATAATAGTTGTGTTATTGAGTATGTCCACCCAGTAGGGTTGGAAGTGTTATTGAATATGTCCACCCAGTAATGGTGTGAGTATGTTGAGCCTGAGGGCCTAGTACTAGATTTCGTCTGTTGGTACAAATAAATTCTTTCTTCTAATTTCATATTCATGTTTAAATAAACTTTGTATTTGTATAATTGTGTCTATTATTTACCTACAGTATTTACCGTTATTTCTTCCCGATTGCTTGATACTATCATTACACCTACCGACGAGCCTCCTATCGTCACACTACCAATGGTAATAAGTATGAGAGTACAAGGAATTGTTACTGGCACACAGAGGCCCTCATAAATGGGGGAAGCTCAGGCCCTCATAAATGGTGGCAGTCCAGGCCCTCATAAATGGTGGCAGCGGTGGGATGTAATGAACATAGTATCGAGTTGGGAGGAATGACTGTGATACTGTAGTTTTAACTGAGTTATAACCATTTCTCTGTACGGGTATTTAATAACCATTCCACTGTAACTAATGAGTATTTCAGATTGCTAATGATTTTGTTCCATATTTTTCTGAGGTACAGCTTTTTGTGGTGGTTTGCAGAGAAAGTGAAATATGTTCAAAGAAATACCTTGGAGTTAGGTTAAAAAAAGTCTGTTTAAATAAATGATACCTGCAACAATAACTTGAGTGTAGTGTGAATAAGGTTCATTAATATTGGAAGAATTTTGATGTGTAACAATCTGCCAAATTTTTTTTTTCCGTTGTTAACTCAGTATTACTTACAGACAGTGAATACATGTTTGGGCCGTGGCACTAGTGTGAAATGTTTCCATCGTAGGATTGCCCAGTGTTTTCATTCTGAGTTGCTAACAGAAGCATTGCACTATATGCAAAGGTTAAGTGGATGCTAAATTCTGTACTTGTAATATTCTTTAGTTGATGTGTTAGGTAAGATATATATTCCATTTACTTAATATCTCGGGGCATTTTACAGTTCCTCATATTAATATTTCTGTGTATATGCTATAATTTTAAAATTTATTTTAATCAGGTGCTAACGGGTCATTATTTGGTGAAACGTATGTTATGTGAACTCTAATGCCAGTATACTTTCAGAATACAGTATTATATATGTGAGGACCTTATGGTGATACGGTATATGGAAAATGTTATACAAGTGTATGGACCCAGAATTGTGAGTACAGAAATTCGTGAAGTGTTCACACAGTGTTGCACCATACTGAGTTTGTGAATGGCAAAGTGTCTCAGGGAATTTTTCATGCAATAATATTATCTTTTGGGAGATTAATAATCTGAACAGAATTTTGAATTGTTGATGCATGGAATGTTTAGTGGTATTGCAGAAAATTAGTATCAGTCCTTGGGTCTTGAGTGAGCACTGTGCATGTATTGTATTTACAGTGGGGTATACCTGTAGTATTGATTTGTTGTAACACAATGGCAGATGCTAACGCAAATAAGGGGACCATGACGGCCAAAGCCGCTGTTGATTTAGCAACAGAAGTCCAAGCTCTTCGGGCTAAACTCGCTGAGTCTATGGATACGATAAGGAGACAACAAGCTTTGCTTGATGAATGGAGGGAAGAACCGGCTGTACCTACTCTCCCTGCCGTGGTTCCACTTTTGCCCCCTCCTAACGATATACCCAGCCGACCTCCTGGCCCCCATTACCACCAATACATTCAGAGGGTGTCCTTTGACGACCTCGTTGGTCTTAACGCAGACACCATCTTAACTAAATTCTGTAAGAGAGTAGAGTATTACGCAGTTAGCTCAAGGGATAGATGGTATGTAGCTACCGACCGCATGGACCAGCAAGTTGAAGCCATGGTCCAAGTAGAACTTGGTACCGATGAGGAAGATTGGGATAAACTTAAAGCAACCTTGCGGAAATTGTTTGTGAAACCAATCCCTCTGGAAGTTGCCTGGCAGGAATTTGCGCGGTTAGAGTACAATTTGGAAGATGATCCCCGGCGCTTCTTGGGCCAAATTAAATCAACTCTCACAACCATTTTCCGCCGGTATGGGCCCATGGAAGGTAAAGAACAAACGTTGAAAGATAAATTGTACAAACACCTGCCAGAACAGTTGAAAGAGGAGTTGACGTTTTACTATTCCCCTTGTTGTCCAGTAGACACGTTGGCCGAACAATTGGAGAAACTCCGACATAGCTATCTGAAAAGTAACAGAACTGGGTATCCTAGTATCCGGCCAGTTCACAAGCATGCGAACCAAGAACTTCCAATAAAGAATGAAAGACCCAGTAGGGCAGAATGTAACGTAACAGGAGGAGCTTGGGGTACCAGTAGTAAGCGAGATCAACCCGCTGTAGCCTTATTTGAAAGTCCTCGTAAAAAGTTAGTTGGAAAGCGACAGGGACCTTACTGTCCATATTGCCGAACACCGAGTCATGATACTTCTACTTGCCCCTTAAATCCACCCCCACGTTCCTGTTGGGATTGCTTAGAAGTAGGATGTCGGAGAAACAGTCAACGCTGCCCCGGACGCTCCAGTCGTCGGCATTATCCAAAATATTGACATAAGCGGGTTCCTTCCAATGTGTCTCCTTGCATTTGGTTTACTGTAAATGAACGTGTCTGTCTTGCTTTAATAGATATAGGTAGTGAAGCCACCTTAATTCAGGAGAGTCTAGTAAAAACTTTGAATTTGCAACCCATCAAACCTTGTAAAGATAGATACCAGGGTGTTACGGGAGATGAGCTAAAAATTAAAGGTAAAGTAGTCATAACAGTACAAGTAACACCACAGTTGAAAGTCAGACACCATGCCATTGTGGTGGATGATAAATACTTTAATGCAGAATTACTATTCGGAGCAGATCTCCTTGGCAGATTTAGAGTAACCTGGGAACGTAAAAGGAAACTTTTCATTTGGGCAGGCCAGTCACATGAATATGGGAGAGTAGTAATGAGAGATCACATGCAAGGAATCAAATGCGTCAATAGATTGTCATTAAAGCCCGATGTACCTTGTCCACCACAGTTGAAGAGTCTCCATATTGATAGGAAGACTATTGTACGAGGCCACCATGCACCGATCTTATCCATCAAAGTGAAAGTAGAGATAGGTCAAATTCTGAGCGTACGATTCACTCATAAAAGTTTCAACCAACAACCAGAGATATGTGTTAGAGTACAGCCAGATTCACGCATATATTTGCCAGTAAGTAATTGTACCGATAAATCAGTGTATTTGAGAGCTGGCACTGTCATTGGCGAATATGAGTTAATCCCGGAGGAGATAATCTCGTATGTTGACACTAAAGGAAATCACTTAGGACATATTCAACAGGTCTATGACAAATTGTGTAAAGTAAAGTCTTCAACTGAATTATCCCTTTGTGCACCTCATCACCTAGCCATTCAAACAGAAGGGAAGAGGAGATCCTCAAACCAATTAAAAGTAAATGTAGGTGATGATCAGAGAGTACCATCCTTTGACTGTGTAATTTGTGCCGGAATTCCCAACGGTCCAGTAAAGAAGGTAAGACATGTCCAAGAGATTTCCAACAGTATGATACCGGAATGTGACGAAGTAAAAGGCGGAACCACTAGACAAGAGAAGTTGAACGAGCTAATTAGAAACCAACCGTGGAACCATCTAGACCGAGAAATGTGTAAACATTTGCGGAAAGTAATTCTAGCTCATGATTCCTTGTTTGTTTTAGGACCACATGAAATAGGGTCAATTGCTGGTATACCCGCTAACATTCAGCTCGCCAACCACAATCCTGTCCGAGGACCACAGTATAGACACCCCGAGAAAGCAAAAGAGATAATTAAAGAAATGATAACAGACATGAGGGATCGTAATATCATTGAACCATCGACTGCCGCCTGGTTATCCCCCATTGTTCTGGTAACAAAACCCAACGGTTCAAAGCGTATGTGCT